ATTCCATTCCATTCCATTCCATTCTATGAGATCTTGGAGTCTTAATGGACAACCAGCTAAATAGGAGCCAGCCGTGTGCAGCGGCAGCCAAAAAAGCCAATGCAATCCTAAGATGCATTAACAGAGGGATACAATCAGGATCAAGGGAGGAACTAACACCACTCTATAAAGCCTTAGTAAGGCCACACCTAGAGTACTGCATCCAGTTTTGGTCCCCACACTATAAAAAAAGAGGTTGAGACTCTGGAAAGAGTGCAGAGAAGAGCAACCAGGATGATGAGGGGACTGGAGGCTAAAAGATACAGTTGCAAGAACTGGGCCTGGCTAGTCTAGGGAAGAGAAGGACCAGGGGAGACAGGAGAGCATCTTCCAATATATGAGGGGCTGCCCCAGAGAGGAGGGGGGGTCAAGCTATCCTCCAAAGCACCCGAAGGCCAGACGAGGAAGAATGGATGGAAACTGACCAAGGAGAGATTCAACCTGGAAATAAGGAGGGATTTTCTGACACCCATGGAAGAGAAGTTTCCTTCGGAGGTTGTAGGAGTTTCATCCCTGGAGGCTTTCAAGAAGAGACCGGACTGCCCTCTGTCAGAAATGGCATAGGTTCTCCTGCTTGGGTGGGGGGTTGGACTAGATGACCTCCAAGGTCCCTTCCAGCTCTGTTATTCTGTTAAAAAAAGTACAATTCAGGCATGACTCACTTTACAACCAAGGGTTATTTTCATCCTTCTTGGGGGTCATCAATCAAGGACTAACCGTACGGCCACAACGGAACCCAAAATTCATGTTTGCCCACTGAAACAGTCGCTAAGTGAGTTTTGCCCCATTTCACGCATTTCCTTGCCACGGTTGTTAAGTGAATCCCTGCAATCGTTAACTCAGGGGCACAGTTGTTAAGCGAATCCTGCTTCCCCCATTGACTCCTCATCGGAAGGTCGCAAAAGGAAATCACCCACCCTCCCCCACCCCACCCCCGATCCTGGGGATGCTGCAATGGTCGTAAAGTCTGAAAAACGGTCCTTTTTTCAGTGCCGTCGTAACTTTGAGCGGCCCCTCAATGGAACTGTCATAACTCGAGGACTTGCCTGTGTATGGCATTGGTTGGTTTGTTTTTTAAATAGCTTTTATTAAGCATTTTCAAGTTTAAAAAGAAGAGAGAAATACAAAGACGAATACAAAACAAGTGAAAACACACACAAAAAACATATAATATGCTTTTATAGCTGTAAATTTATGGCATTTGATTCTCTTTCATTCTCTCTCTCTCTCTTTTCTCTCATTCTCTCTTTCTCTCTCTCCCTCTCTTTCTCTCTCATTCTCTCTCTCTCTCTCTCTCTCTTCCCCCAGCAACCTGGAAGGATTCCTGGAGGAATTTGCGGACATCTCCAAGGAAGATCAAATTAAGAAACTCCACGACCTCCTGGGTCCTCACATGTTACGGCGCCTCAAAGCCGATGTCTTCAAGAACATGCCGGCCAAGACGGAGCTGATCGTCCGGGTGGAGCTCAGCCCCATGCAGAAGTACGGGGCAGGGTTGGGGATTGGGGGGGGGGGTTGTTTGGGGGCAGAGGATCCCCGAGTCCTTTCCGTGGGTTGAGGGTTTTTTTAGGTCTCCGTGGAGATGATTCTCCATCCTCTCCATCCAGGTCACCGTTGTCCCCAAAGGGGCTTTTCTCTCTTCTTTCTTTTCTCTCTCTCTCTCTCTCTCTTTCTCTCTCTCTTCTCTCCTCTCCTCTTCTCTCTTTTCTCTCCCTCTTTCTGTTTCTTTTTTTCTCTCTTTCTGTGTCTCTCTTTTTCTTTTTTCTCTCCCTCTCTTTTTCTCTCTTTCATCTCTCTTTCGCTTTCATTCCCTCTCCCTTTCTATCTTTCTCTTTCTTTTTTATCTTTTTCTCTCTCCCTCTTTCTGTCTCCTTTCATCTCTCTCTTGCTTGCTTTCTCTCTCTCTTTCTGTCTCTCCATCTTTCTCTTTCTCTCTTTTCTCTCTTTTTATCTCTCCCTCTTTCTCTTTTTCTCTCTTTTTCTCTCTCCCTCACCTCCCACTGGATGAACGATCTCCCCATCTAGTTATGGGATTTCCCCCCACCCCTTCCATAAAGTTATTATATCTGCTTCTGTGAGTATGTAGATTATAGCACCTTTTTTTACGTAATTCCCTTTCCCTTCTTATTTCTCCCCCCCCCCCTCTAACTCTCCCTTTTCCCCCAAATCAGGAAATATTATAAATATATCTTGACTCGCAACTTTGAAGCTCTGAACTCCCGCGGGGGCGGGAACCAGGTCTCCTTGCTCAACATCATGATGGACTTGAAGAAATGCTGCAATCACCCCTACCTCTTCCCCGTCGCGGCGATGGTACGTTTGCCAGCCCAGCGGGTGCCCGGGGAGTTTGGAACTCGGCCCCTTAGTCTTGCATCCATAGAAGGGGATACTTGCAGCTCAGGGTCGGGCTCCTTGGGGGGACTCTGAGCTTTGTGCTTTTCTTGCAGACGTTTCGTAACCCAACTAGGTAACATTATCAGTTCCAGAAGGGAAAGGGGGTTCACGAAGTGGAGGGGGGAGGAGGAGGAGGAAGACTATGGGGTCCTTGGTGTTTTCTGAGCTTGCTTGTTTTCTTGCAGATGTTTCGTAACCCTGCTAGGGAACGTCGTCAGTTCTAGAAGGGAGGATTTATGGGGTGGAGGAAGAGGGGAGAGGAGGAGGAGGACTGTGTGGTCCTTGGTGCTCTCTGAGCTTGGTGGTTTTCTTACACACATTTCATGACCCAGCTAGGGAACGTTGTCAGTGCTAGAAGGGAGTGTGGAGAGGAGGAGGAGGACTGTGTGGTCCTTGGTGCTCTCTGAGCTTGGTGGTTTTCTTACACACATTTCATGACCCAGCTAGGGAACGTTGTCAGTGCTAGAAGGGAGTGTGGAGAGGAGGAGGAGGAGGAAGGGGAGGATCGTGGGATCCTTCGTGCTCTCTGAGCTTAGTGGTTTTCTTGCAGACGTTTCGTGACTCAACGAGGGAACATCATCAGTGCTGGAAGAGAGTGGGATGTGTGCAGTGGGGGAAAGATAAAGGCGGGAGGGAGGAGGAGGAGAAGATGGAAGAGGAGGAAGATTCTGGGGTCCTTGGTTAAACATCTGTAAGAAAATCACCCAGTTAAGAGACCACCAAGGACCCCAGAGGAATCATTGTCCTCCTTCCTTCCTTCCTTCCTTCCTTCCTTCCTTCCTTCCTTCCTTCCTTCCTTCCTTCCTTCC